ACGAGCTGGAAGTTTTGTGCATTTTATTTTTTTCACTTTTAGGAAGTGAAGGGTGATTATTGTAACTTTATTTATTGGGCTTTTTTATCCTCTCTCCTTAGTACTTAGGATAGAAGTGTATTTATTGTACTTTTTTTATCATTAATACACATAATAAAAATAAAAATTAATATTAATTTTATCAATTATCTAATAAAAAATATTTATGTTATAGATGTTAAAATTAATGTTAATTTTTTTATGTAAATTAATGCATGAAAAATACATTTAAAACTTTTTTAACTTATGCTATTAGAGTACAGATTAGACAAACCTTTATTTATTTTAGGAGAAGAAAACTTTTCCCGTAAGAAAAAGGAAAAAGAAAAGGAGTGCAAAGTAATATTTGGATAAATATATGAATTTTATAGTTTTTCATATATGAAAATAAAAAAAATATAATACAATTTAAATTATATTAAACTATATAATATCAATTATTAGACTAGAATTGAGTCTCCAGCTATTAAGGACTCTTCTCAATTAATAATCTTTATTTTACACTTTGGTACCATTTAGACTATAAAACAAAATTTTCATAAAATAATCTTTAACATAATATTTATTTTCCATTAAAGAAAGTTGTTCTTATGTTTGTATCTTATATAATAAAGAAAATTACTCCATATGAAAAAGGGCAAAAACCCACTTTAGCCCCTCCCCTTATTAAATTTAAAGGTTTTAGCCCCTCATCTTATACTATAACACTTTTAACCTCTCATCTTATTAGATTTGTATGTTTTAACCATTTACCTATTAAAATTGAAGAAAATAACCCTCAATTTAAACTGACTGTTGATTCTGTTAGTTGAAAATAGATTTTTATCAATTAATAGTCAACAAATAATCAATTAACAAAATACAGTCAACTAATAGAACTAATAAAATGTTACAAAATGAGGGTTATTTTCTTCAATTTTAATAGATGAGGAGTTAAAAATGTTCTACTATAAGGTGAGGGGTTAAAAATATCATAATATAAGATAAAAGACTAAAACATTTTAACTTAATAAGATGAGGGGCTAAAATAAGGTTTTGCCTATGAAAAAGGAGATAAGATGAATAATAAAATCATTCATTTATATTCGGCCTAAGAAATATCTGTTACTCAGGCAGGGTGATGGACTGCAACACGTTC